AGGAGGTGGAGGTCCCGGCCACGTCTGTCTCAGCTGGACACACCTTTGTGTGATTCTCCTGGACTGGGGGCCGGGGGACGGTGGGGTGGGGGGTGGGGGTGTGACGGTGCCGGCTGCCACAACAACACCGGACCTCTGCGTGGACCCCCTGGTGCATCAGAAGTTGGAGGAGACCAGTGCATCTCTGGCCGCGGCGCTGAGGGCTGTGGAGGACAAGATACTGCGTCAGGACGAGTAAGTAACAGATGTGTTTTCTTCACTGCTCCCTCTGAGCTGACTAAACATCAGCAGCTCCATGTTCAGTCAGCTCAGATGGTCATCCACAAACAGTTACATGGAGGACAACAACTGGACGAAGCAGGTTTTTTATTTTATTTACCAGTTGTCAGTAAGAACTAAAGAAGCCTCTTGGATGAAGAGGTGAAACGTCTGCAAGAAAAACCTGCTCCGTCCAGTTGTCCTCCATGTAATGTAAAGACCTGGATGACTGAGAACCTACAGACACTCAGTGACTTCCTGTCTTCACCGTGGTCTGTGTGACTGTACCTCTCTCTCTCGCTCTCTCTCTCTCTCACTCTCCAGCTCTGTGGCCGAGCAGAAAACCACCGTCAGCATCCTGGACGACATCGGCAGCATGTTCGATGACCTGGCCGACCAGCTGGACGCCATGTTGGAGTAACCATAGAGACCAGTCAGCATGTTTCCATGGCAACACTGCAGCAAAACTAACTCAGATGGCACAAAGAGCAACTTGCCTCTCGCTCTGTCTTCAACTCCTCCTCATCCACCAGTTGGTGTTGTGTTCAACTCTCTTCCAACTCTCACTGTTGTCCCTCCATGACTTCACTGCTGCTCTGGAGACATGTCTGTCCTCCATCTCCTCCTCTCATCTGCTGTGGCTGATGAAGAAACTGACGATGTCTCAGAGCCGCTGGACGTGTTGACCAGGGATGATGGAGGACGAGGGTGGGGAAAGAAAACAAAACACAGGAGGATTAAAAAAATATGTATGTGGAGAAAAAAAACAGAGACAAAGAAATGGAACAGAGTGAAGGAGAGTTCACTCCACACAAGAACAAATCAACTAATAAAGATTAAAAAAAAACCTACTGTGTAACAAACCATAGTACGGTATGTGTACATTCTAAGCATGGAGAGTTTATATCTACTGGAAAAGTCCTGCATTAGCACACTAATATATATATAAAAATATAATATAATAATATATGGATAAATATGAAGCTCTAGCTCTTTGGTTTGATGTCTTTGGTTATGTGTGGAATGGTGACCTCTGGTGTTGTGACAATGTAAATGAATCAATGGAAGAGAAAAAAAAAAATCTGTTACTACACTATTTATTCAGCTGCTGAGGGTGTGTGTGTGTGTGTGTGTGTTAGAATGCTCAATTTCAGGATTAGTGACAGTTTACTGTCATTGTTCAACCCTTTTTTTTGTTTACACACACACATGCACAGGAGAAGCACAAAGACCCCTGCAGTCTGTTTGCGCACACACACACACCGTCACAGGAGCCTGCACAACTAAAACAAAGGAAGTTCAGGAGAGAAGAGAGACTGACTCACCGATGTCCAGGTGGAGTTGTTGAAGTTGGCACCAGGGCAAGTTTACAAAACGATTTCACGGCGTAGTCGAGAGGGTGGAGATGCAGCTCCGTAGGACGAGCCTCAGGTCGACCACGAAAACCTGCACAATGGAAAAACAGAACAAAACAAAAATAAATACAAGCACCAGAGTTCAAGGGCCAGTGAGTTCCTCCTCACCCACCACGTCTCACCTTGTTGCTGCAGATTGTTTGAATCTTAAGATGAAAAATAAAAACATTTTTTGTGTGTCCCCAAACATGGAAGAAAATGGGTCAAATTCAAAAACTTACTGAATATCATTCCAGAAAAGATGGCAGCACCAATCAGGAGAGTCGATGGACTGGATCTTTATTTCCCATCAGTCCTGGGCAGGGATGCACAGAGTCAGGGGTTTTACTTTCAAACACAGAAACAAAATTTCACATTAAAAATAATTTACTCATTGGTGGATATTAGCAATATATATACACATATACATATATATATTACAATATCTATCAAACTGATTCTCTGACATCGATTGATAGTGTGTGTACTAATGTGCACACACACACCTACTGCTGCTACAACAACAAGTGTTTGTCCAAATTAAACTAAGGCTTGTGGCCTAAAACCTTCACACCCCGCACTAATCTAGGCACCAATTCACCCACTACACCAGAAAAGCCTGGACCTGACCTGATCTGCCACCTGACCTGACCCAGTCAGTGCCGGCCAATCACCACAGACCACATGACATGACAGAGTCCAGGCTTAATACATAACACAATCTAGTTCAAGGGTGTCAAACATACGGCCCGCGGGCTAAAACCGGTCCGCTTGATACATTTTGAAATTAAAAAATACACAAACACTTCATGTTCAGGAAATGTTTGGTAAAATTATATTTCACTAAATACAAAAGATTTATCGAATGTACTTTTTTTTTACATAAAAACGAAGGGGAAAAAGACTTATGTTATGATTGTACTGGTCCGGCCCAATTGACATCTAATTAGGTTGTATGCGGCCCCTAAACCAAAATGAGTTTGACAGCCCTGATCTAGTCCAACACAGTGTATAACACGGGGGTCTATCTTTACAACAGTCTGAGGTTAAAGCGTCTCCTGGTCATTTACAGAAACAGGAAACAGTAGCAAACCTAACTAATTACTGAAGAACTTTGTTGAAACTGACCTTAATGTGCATCCCTGCTCTGAAGATTGTTTATTTTCATCGTCACATCTATGGCGTTCCAGATTCTTGGGGTGACATTGTTCATTCCATCTTCATATTCTAGAAGTAAAAAGACAGAATATGAAATTACAAACAAGACATGTTTGACTCCCTCACCCGTTCCCTCACCTCTCAGCATGCCCTGCTGCCACGGCATTTTCATGAGATTAAAAATAACAATAATAATAATAAAAAGTAATTAATGTGAGAAATAAAAATCTAAAAAATGGAGCGAGTGACGTTAGGGACCAGGTGAAGCTGAAGCTGCTCAGCTTCAGGTGCTGATGGAGGCAGTAAACGCTCGTGCTCTGTATTCATAAAAATAAAAAAACCACTGTCTCCATAGCAACCATGCTCTGCATCTTTGTGGACAAAAAAAAATTATCAGAGAATAGATGTGGTATTTAAAATATGATCACATAGAGATGGTATATAAATATATAGGTATTTGCAAAAAAAAGGTGTATTTATGATGTGTGTGTGCGGATGTGCGTGTGTGTCACCCTGAAGACTATTTTTCAAAGTAAACAGATCTAATCTGAGTGTTGAATCAATGCTTCTCCATGCTTCAGTGGTCTGAGCTGATGAGTCATTGTAGGATACCATGTTTGGATATAACCAAGAAGCGCTTTTTAATTTTAGGTTTTTTTTTTAAATGTTATTATTATTATTGTGTAATTTTTCTTCCTTTTAACTACATTTGTCAACGCGTGGCGATGTGTAAAACTGCAAGCGATTCCCGTTTATTTTATATTATTTTCAGGATTGAATGTAGATGCAACTTTTGAATTTTTTGGTTTTTTTCTTTCTTTGAAACATGTGCCTTGCTTTGTGATTTTGGTCTGATGACAATACAGTAGATGGCTGTGCACAAACTCTAGGAATCCCTGTTTCCTTTAGTTATTTTAACTTTTACACCGTTTATTTGCACTCATCAGGCTCGGCAGGAACTGATCACATAAGTCGAATTTTTTAGATGTGAAAGCGCATGAAAAAACGAGGTTCTTCAGGTCTTTGAGCTCCAGCTGACACTTTGGTGCCGTGAGCCTGGTTAAAGTGGTTAAAGCTATGGTTATACGTGATTATAAAAAAAACCTCCGTTTGTCGCGGCCTTATTGTGTGCTGAAACAATTCCTAAGTTTCCCACAAGGGGGCAGCACATGATATCATATACAACCTACAGGACCGGAATTAAAAACCAACCAAGTTACAGGATAGTTTTGTTTTTGTTTAAAAATAATTATAGTTACACAAAGTAAAAACGTGCAAAACACACGGACAAGAGTCTATGACGTAATTCGTTAATTATTGTACGCCTGGGGGTAAAAGAGGTTCTAAAATAGATGTATTTTCAACTCATGACACCTAAGTTATATATATAGACAGTACCCAGATAATAAATAATAATAATAAAAAATTGAACCACACCTGAATGGGAAGATGTTCAGACGATTGAAGCTCATCAACAGGTTTGGATCCAGAACCATCTGGACTTCAGTCTGGAGAAGAAATTCTCTGATGAAAACACCACTGAAGAAGAAGAAGAAGAGCAGACTGACACATGGAGGAGAGACAGATCTGTCAATCTGCCTCAGGAATATTTTACCAGTTTGTCTTTATTGTTTTATTGATTAACTAATCCTCCAAAGGAACACCACGGTGCAGGAAGAACTCGGTGACGAAGTGTAAATGTTTCTGAACGTCCACCACCAAACCTTACATCCCACTGAAGAAAGATAATCTGTGGATTTACCTCAGGACGTTCTTCACTGACACCTGCTGAAAACTACGAGCCAAAACAACCGCAGTCTGATCTTAAAGAAGAAAAAACATCCGAGTGTTAGGACAAGATTGACAGGTAGGTGGCGCTTGTGTTTACGTACAAAGATTCAGACTCCAGTTATAAAATAAAACGGCGTCATCGACATAGAAGAGTTACAAGTGTACAACAGTTTTATTGATCAGTGATCAACTCAGGCTTATATGATTACAAGTATACAAGACAACAGTGACACTGAGCAGCCAGGACACTCCCTCCCCCTCTCACCCAGGGCTGTGGACCGTTGACATTTAAGTCTAATGAAGTCCTGAACATCTGTAAGAACTCAGCTCTCCTCCCACAGGAGAGCTTCATTTCCAGATTTTTTTAGCCCAGTTTTAGTTCTTGGATAAAAAACGCAGGAAAACTGGACGTCATTCCTGCGGGACGACACCGAGCCACGGGAGTCGTCGGATTAATCACGGCTGATCTGGTGTCTGTCTTTACCTCACTGTGACGTCTGTAGTCTGAGGTGGTGTTACAGACAGATGGGGGAGGGGGCGCCGTGGTTACAGTCCGTTCTCATTTCCATCCACACATATGGCACTCATTTCAACACACACACACACACATTCCGAGCGCGTCTTTTCTGTAGGCCGCGGTGGGTCGTCATCGTCGCCACCTACAGGCTCTGGCACTTCACACAACTGTACAACCGCGGAGTGGCCCTGAACTCATCGTGGCACGGGTATAAAACTCATCTTCAGAGGAGGTTGTAAAGTTCTAACTTCTTCAGGTTCTTCTCAGATCAGAACCGCGAGGCTCCGACAGCTGAGGTGGAGCCGGAAAAAGTTCACGCATCATCAACGGTCCATGTTGAAATGTTACAGAAAACACTTCCTCCAGATGTCGCCTGCCGACTGATGATGTCATCAACAACCACTGACATTTAAACCCAGTCTCACTTTCACTCCAGATACTTTATGGCAAAAAACAAAACTAGTTTTTTTTCTTTTTTTTTAAAGGACACATTCTGCTTCTTCAGCTTCATTAATGTCTAACGATGTGTTAGTAACACGTTAATAACATGTTAGTAACATGCACAAAACGAAGGATCGATCGCGGCTGGACTCTTCACACACCTGTTCTGTTCTAACGGCTTCTGTGTCTTTAAATGTTAATGAGGCACTGTAAGCCCCGCCCACCTCCTCAGAGAACTCTCTACTGGACGACAAACTGTGGTTCAAACATGTTGATCCAAAATCAGGGGAACAAGAAGAAGAGGAGGAAGAAGAAGAAGAAGCTCCAGGAGAAGGTGTGGAGTCAAGAATGAACCTGGACGGTGGTCAGTGTCGGTACTTCACTTTGTTACTTCAACAGTACCGTATTTTCCGAACTATAAGTCGCACCAGCCAGTTAGAGAAGTCAGAGAGCAGGGGTCAACTGGGTGTGGTCCAAGAGGCCATCCAAAGCCTGACCCCTGACCTGCGAGTGTGTGTGTGTGTGTGTGTGTGTGTGTGTGTGTGTGTGCAGTGTGGGCGACTCGGGCTCCTTCAACACTGCAGACCAGCTCCACACCTGTACCTGGATCCGCTCCCACCTGGAGGAGCACTCAGACACCTGTCTTCCCAAACAGGACGTCTATGAGACCTACAAGTGAGACGCACTCACACACCACCCTCACCACGCTCTGTGAGCCTGCGTTAGTCATGTGACACCCTGACTCCTCCCACTGCTGTCCCACAGGAGATACTGCGAGAACCTGCAGCACCGGCCTCTGAGTGCAGCCAACTTTGGAAAGATCATCAGAGACATTTTCCCAAACATCAAGGCCCGGAGACTGGGCGGCAGAGGACAGTCCAAATATCCTTTATTTATACTGGTAATATAAAATAATAATCAGTAAAAAACATTTTAGATTATTGTTATAAAAATGGGTAAAATAAGCCAGAGAGGGACAGTGAGGGAGACAGCGCCACACAGTGTCAAGTGAAAAAAATGGAGCTGTGTTGATCACTGTGACTCGATGTTCCCACGTATTGCGATAGTTGCAGATTCGTAACTTGGAAAACTCGTCTTTCAGGATATAATATTATATATATAATTATATCATTAAAAGTAAACCCTCCCAAAAGATAATTAAAAAAGGTGCGACTTATAATCTAGAAAACACGGTACTCTGATGAACGACTTATAATCCAGAAAACACGGTACTCTGATGTAGACGAAGCACAGCCGTAGGGTTGGGTCAACCTGAGGTTCTGACCCTAACGGACACCTGTAGTTCAGTGCTCTGTCAAACAGTGTATTTTCAGGACTGGAGGTCACAGGGTCAGTCGTGTTAATTTAATTAAATCTTCCATGAAGTCATTAATCCAAAGAACGAAGGCTGATTAGAAATGATCTTCACTGAATTCAAGAAATTAGTACAGTTTTTTTGGCTGAATACTTAATATTAACTTCAGTTTAAATGTTGCAGCGTATTTTTTTTTATGTTTAATTTCGTGTTCTTGAAGGAAGTGTTCGTGTTTCAGTCGTGACAGTTTTTAGTCACTGAACAAAAAAGAAGAGCAACCTCTAGTCCTGAAATTACAGTGGTGACCACCAGGGGTGATTGCAGCGTCATGTTTGTGAAACCAACCATTCCTCAGGTGTGGAGACCAGAACAGACAGATGTACCTACGGACCATGATCCTCCGCTCCGCTCCACCCTCCGTTCTGGACCGGTGCGCTGCAGCTGTTAAGGCAGATCGTCTCGTGGTGCTGCGGGACGCACTGAGGTCCCTCAGGACCGTGACCTTTGACCCCTTACAGTCAGAGTCGATTGTTCGTGTGAAGGTGAAAAAGCAACATTCAGTAAAACGGTTGTGAAGAAGCTGTGGCTGTTACTGCTGTTTGGCTGCTGGAGAAAAAAAGATAAAGTCTGGAAGAAAAACAATCATGTGTGGAAAAGAGGCGGAGTTTAGGACAAGTCCAATCAGGGAGAACCGTCCTTTTAGCAGGTCCACACCTAAAGGGGGAGGAAGAAAGAGGGAGGGGGGGAGACAAGAGACGAGAGTCAAAACATCCAGGAACAAAGACACATGATCTGTTTGTTCTTCAGATGATTAAAAACACAGAATCAAATGTTTTAATTTTTTTTTCCTCGGAGCTCGTACCTTGACGGTGCTGTCCACGGCTCCAGAGAAGAGACGTCCCCTGGACACAGCCAGAGCCGTGACACTGCCCTGGTGTCTCAGCAGAGTCTGGGTACAGATCATGTTGTCCATGCTCCACACCTACATGAAGAACATTCCAGAAGTTCAACAGGAGCTGACGCTTCTCCACTGAGTCACTGTTTGACTGTTGTTATTGTTATTATTATTATTAGGTGGAGCAGATCCACAGACAGTCAGACAGACCCACAGACAGACAGACCCACAGACAGTCAGACCTCACCCTCAGTGAACGGTCGTAGGAGGCGCTGAACACTTTGGTCTGGTCTGGAGTTGAGATGACTGCCAGAGCGTAGACTGTTCCCACGTGACCTGTCAGCGTCCGCACTTGTTCTTTAGACTCGATATCCCACACCTGCAGAGGAGGGAGGAGGGAGGTTCCACATCACTGTCTAATGATAAGCCAACAGCTGCGTGTAGGTGTGAGGAAAATCTCCATCCACTGAAGTATCTCCTGATCCCGTATCAATCTCCTCAGTCATTGATCAGTTATTGATTTTTTTCTCCTCAAATCCCAGTCCAATATTCCTGGTGTTGGTTCATGTTCTTTTTCTTTTCTTTCTTCTCTAGTGATTCCAAATGTAGATCCCTCTGTTCCAGTGTTAGGAACTGATGTTCAGATGGAACAGAGTCTGACTCTAGGATCAGACTAATGGGGGGCGGGGTCACCTCAGTATGTCGTCCTGACTGTAGTATCACAGTATATCGTACTCTGACACGTGTATCGTCTCCTCAGATTCTTGACAGTATACACTCCTAGCTGCGTGAGTGGAACCGATCATGTTGGTTGTGTGTGTGTGTGACTTTTCTCTTACGTGGATGAGGTTTTCGTAAGTGCCACAGACGATGTGGTGGTTGGTGACGGCGATGGAGTAAACGCTGCCGCCGCTGGTCTGAAGAACGTGAACGCATTCCAGAGAACGGATGTCCCAGATCTGACAAAAACAGAGACAAGGGGGGAGTCAGGGGGGAGGATGGGGGAGAATAAACACCTTAGTTGAAAAGTAGGTTGGAAAAAAAGGAAGAGAGAGCGAGAGTGGGATTGAACAATAATATGACTGAACACTTACAGAAAACATTAGTTTGTACTTTTCAGAAGGAAGACATTGAAGTATCTTGATTTATTAACGTCTGTACATGAAGAGACCAATATATTCTACTGTGATTGACTGAGGTTGTCTGTGCAGCGTCACACTTCCTCTTTCCTAAACAACAACTGGCCTCAAACCAACAACTCTCTGAACAGAGAGAATCCACTTCATCTCTGCTCATTCTTCATCCTTTTTCCATTACTGGCCGCAGAGGGTGCTGCTGCTGCTGCTGTTACAGTAGCTGGCTTTATCTCTCCAGCATCCCTGAGGTGTTCATTAGCAACCAACACTCACACTCTCTGAGGTTTTCTGAGTACAAAAGCTGAGGCACCACAGAGTCAGACAGACAGACAGACAGACAGTGAGACAGTCAGAAAGACAGACAGTCAGTCAGTCAGTCAGAAAGACAGACAGACAGACAGACAGTCAGTCAGACAGACAGTCAGACAACCCAGAATCTAACCAGTGGCTACAGCACAGACACACTGCGTAAACACCAGGTAGTCACTGCAGTACTGCGACCAGTACCTGCTCCAACTCACTGCTGCTGAAAGGACACACCCCCCCCCCCCCCCCGGACGAGGGTCAAAGGGAGGGTTGTTAACAGTAATGTGATTACAAATTAATATTTGAATAGTTAAAAAAAAATCCCCAATCCCCAATATATCATACATCGCAATATATATATCTTTAAATACTACGTTACATCACATGGTTGCCCTGTATGGTGATTAATGTCGTATCACCAGCTTCTGGTCCAAACACAGCCCTGATAGAGAAGTAAACGTCCTCGTTATGGTGACTGTTCGTAAGCAGACGGACGTAGGTCCTGGTAAAGTTATCGCCTCTGACCCTGTGACTCTGTGACTCTGTTAGAACAGGTGACATCACTGTGACTCACCTTGATGGTCTGATAGGAGCCGCTGTACAGGTGGTTCTGAGACGCCACTAGCGCTCTCACCCAGTGGTTCAGACCTGTTAGCTCCTTCTTCAGCTTCAGCTCCGTCCCCACGATGTCCCAGACCACCCAGAGAAAAAAAAAAAAAAAAAAAAAAAAAATCAACACAAGGATTCAATAAGAATGAAATGACAAGTACTCTGAACTACTGCACAGGAGTACTAGGATGACAAGTAAAGCTGCTTTTCTGCTCTTTAACGTCTTCTTAATTACTTTAATTACTACATAAAACAAGTCACGGTCAACAGACGACAGAAATGTGTGAGAAATTTTGAAGGCTGTTAAACAGAGACCTTTAATCTGATTATCCTCAGTATATATATATCTTTAAATACTACGTTACATCACATGGTTGCCCTGTATGGTGATTAATGTCGTATCACCAGCTTCTGGTCCAAACACAGCCCTGATAGAGAAGTAAACGTCCTCGTTATGGTGATTGTTCGTAAGCAGACGGACGTAGGTCTCTGTAAAGACCTCGACTCTGACCCTGTGACTCTGTTAGAACAGATGACATCACTGTGACTCACCTTGATGGTCTGATAGGAGCCGCTGTACAGGTGGTTCTGAGACGCCACTAGCGCTCTCACCCAGTGGTTCAGACCTGTTAGCTCCTTCTTCAGCTTCAGCTCCGTCCCCACGATGTCCCAGACCTGAGGACAAAAAAAAAAAATCAACACAAGGATTCAATAAGAATGAAATGACAAGTACTCTGAACTACTGCACAGGAGTACTAGGATGACAAGTACCAGACGAGTACCTGGGAGCAGACGGTCAGAACGGCTGATTTTCTGCTCTTTAACGTCTTCTTAATTACTTTAATTACTACATAAAACAAGTCACGGTCAACGACGACAGAAATGTGTGAGAAATTTTGAAGTCAGTGACCTTTTATCTGATTATCCTCAGTTATATTGTTTTGCAAATTACTAATAATTATAATAGAATAATTAATATTATTGTGATGAACGATATTATTGTCAACACATGAAGTCCGACCTGTGTCACATCTGGTCTATTATTAAAATGAATTAATCTGAATGGATTTTTATGACAGAAAAACTATTTACTGTGTGCAGCACATGTTGACAAACATGAACAAAAACGAGTTGAACAGGTTCCACGGTGGACGCCTTGTCCTCCAGCGACCGTACCTTGATGGCCTTCAGGGAGCCGCTGAACAACATGTTGTGGGAGGAGACCAGCGTGCACACGGGGTTGTCATGGGCACGGATGGTGTTTACCTTCTGCAGAGTCTGAATGTCCCACACCTGTGAGAGAAGCTCGGCGTCAGAACAGCTGAAGATTTAAAAAAAAAGATCTAAACTGTGAACTGAGTGACGTGACGCTGACTCACGATGATGGTGCAGTCCGCGGAGCCACTGTACAGCCGGTTCCTATTAAGGAAAACAAAAAGAAACAATCAAACAGTGTGAGGGTCGTTTTCAGCTGGGGTGAATGGTACGAGGGTCATTTTATTTACCCCTGTATGCACAGAGCCAACACGATGCCATCGTGACCCTCCAGGGTTTTCTGACACTTGTAGGTGGTGCAGGTGTCCCACACCTGGGGTGAGGAGAAGAGATATGACTCAAGGGGGTAAGGAAATATCAATACATAGAAATATCACAATATTTCAATTAACTTTTCAATTTTATCATCTGTATCAATATTCTCTATCAGTTTATTGATTTTTTTATCACCAATTCTCAGTCAAATATTCCTGGTGTTCTTGTTAATATTCACCCCCAATGACTCACACACTTATTACTAGTTTTATTACCAATAAAAAAACTACTTGAAAAGTCTGTTTTTCATCCACCTGAACTAGTAATTAAACTAATGACCCCCCCCCCCCAACAGTTACCTTGATGGTCTTGTCTGAGGATCCAGAGAAGAGCAGGTCTCCTGTAGAGTAGACACAGAGGCACCAGACTGGACCCTGGTGGCCCACAAAGGTCCCCTTACATTTGAAGATCTGCTGTGGGTCGTAGGCTGCAAAAAGGCACAAAGGCAGGAGTTAACCCTTGGTATACACATACACACAGAGGTACAAAAAAACCAAAACCAAAACAAACTCAGCTTGTTTCAGACATCATTGTTCATAAACAGACACTTACAGCCCAGGATCCCATGTTGAGCCTGGCGTTGATGTGGGACAGCTCATCCTAGAAAATACATTATATTTAAACTTTAATTTATTTTAAACTACCCTTCACTTACACAAAACCAAAACAAACTCAGCTTGTTTCAGACATCATTGTTCATAAACAGACACTTACAGCCCAGGATCCCCATGTTGAGCCTGGCGTTGATGTGGGACAGCTCATCCTAGAAAATACATTGAAAAAAAAAAATTATATTTAAACTTTAATTTATTTAAAACTACCCTTCACTTACGCAAGCAGTTTAACCTCACACTTAATGAACTATTTTTAATTTCCCCTCCCACCACAAAATAATCCCTGCACACACTCACATTCAGCATGGAGGCATCTCGACGGAACTCCATCAGGTCTTCACTCAGTTTACTCTGGTTTTCATCCAACATATCTGAAATACACACACACATCACACACTGATCACTTGGAGGAAGACGTGGACGACAGATGCTCAGTAGTCGTTTTTCTTCTAATTAACAGTAATTCTACACATACAAAGGTCAAAACATAAAAATTTAAGCGTATTTGCTTTAATTTAATTTTCTGCAAATCTGCAAACTTAGCGTTTGGCTCCGACTGTCAACACCCTGACCATCTGTTTACAAAGTCTGTTCTCTGCACTTTTTTGCAGTTGTGGAAACACCAAGTGGTGAAACCACCACTTGGTGTTTCCACATTTAAACATTTCATTACGTTTCCCATCAAGTTGAGTCGACGTGAAACTCACTCATGACTTGAACATGTTGGTGAAATTATGGATTTTTATTTATTTATTTATTATCTTACCAAACTTCAGTTCCAAGTTCTTCTCCAGCTGGTCTAGTTTCTCAGAGAGTTTGCCCAACATGGAACGCAGGAAAGCGATATCCTGGTCCTTCTGTGCCAGTGTCAGCTGCATCTCATGGAACCTACCACGGCCCACGTGACAGATATTAGTATTAAATTATTACCTCTGAGTACAACCAACAAGTACAACATGCACGAGGTTCAATGATGTTCTAATGAGAAAACGTCAGTCGTCCGACCTGTCGTCAGTCTGCTGCAGGAACTCCTTCAGTCCTTCAAACTTGCACACCTCCAGGTGGGTTTCATACGTGTCCTGGTTGCCGATGAACGTACAGCTGACGGGGAGAAGAGACGCAGATCAGTGGAAGGTAAATTATTGAGCCACAAATAAAAAAAAAAAACAATGATTTTTTTTTTCTCCAAGGGATTTAGGAACTCACCCGTATTTGGAGTGTGGACATTTGATGTGCTCACAGGCTTTGAGGTGGGCCTCGAGGTTCATGGTGAGCAGGGGGGGGCAGGAGGGGTTGTTGGGGCAGCGGACTGGCCTGTAGTCACAGCTGGCCTCGTGTTCTCTGCAGAGAAATGACGATTCAGTGGAAAAAAGAAACCAATCAGATCAGAGACAAAGCCTCCTGCTGCAGACAGGTACGGCCAGGTCAGGTGAGCCCTTACTTGCGTGCAACCAGTTTGATAGTGAACGGGCAGCCCAAGGGGTCCACTTCAAACGCTCCGGGTTTCCCGGCCACCGTGGCATTGGAGGCCGCGGCGCCCCCTGCTGCTCCACTGGCCGTGACCCTGCAGCCGTATTTACAGTGAATGAACAGCTCTCCGATCTGCTCGGCCACGGCAATGTTGTTCACCACGACCGTCAGCTTGGCTGCGTCCACGGGGCACTTGTCTGTGTGTGTCAGGAGCGTGAGCAGGAGGGCAAGGGTTAAATAAATGATTTTAGTGCCACATGTGAATGAGAGAAGTCAAGATATTTCAGAACATACCTGAAGTCAAGGCACATCGTCTGCAGAAGGTGTGCTGTGGAGGGGAGGGTGGGGGGCAAAAGGGAATTTAATGTTTATTTTTATGCACACATGGAACTTTGTCAATTTATTGACATTACTTTTGTTTTTAGTTTTTCTGTTGGACAATAAAAACCTTCTACTGACGTCAGACACCAAAGTGAAACAGTTCCAGTCATTATAACAAACAAAGTCCGTGTGATTTATGGCACGCGTTCCAATTATCTCATGCATTCCTGGTCGTGACCAGTGTTGACCTACCCCACACGTGGTGATGACGGGATCCTTGAAGACGTTACAGCAGAGCTGACAGCACAGCTTCACTGACGGCTGTTCAGCAAACACCTGGGGCTCCTACACACACACACACACACACACACACAGTCGGTACTTTTCTTTGTCAAATGAACAAAACAGTTCCACAACATCAATGCACGTGTGTTTACTTATTAATCCAGAATATTTATTTTAGGAATGATACCGTGTCTTCCTCCTCCTCGTGCAGTGAGAAAGTAGAGCGCAGAGAAATGTTGGACTCAGAATGAAGAGACCGCACAGAGATGGCTGAATCAGATCTCCGTGGAGTCCCAATGAGAGGCTGAGGAGACGGCAGGAGGCAGCGGAAGAAAATTTGTTTTTTTTATTACCATGAATGCTTAGAAAATAATTCAAAGTTTTAAAATTCTCAGTGTTACGTACCATTCCATCATCGTCGTCCCGAGGAGAGTAGGTCAGTGTGCTGGAGGAGGACGGAGTTCGTCTGTGCTGCTTGTAGGTGGTTGACCCTTCTGTTGAACACACATCAGAACTGTATGAGGAGCTTTAAACAAAACCACAGCAACATAAAGGATTTAGAGAAAGTCGCTGTAGCAGCACCTTTTCCTCCAGCAGCCACAGCTGAGAAGGTGGGGCCAAAGGTCGCCTCCATGCTGCTCTGCAGTGAGAAAGAGAGACGGGTTCTGTCAAGACATGAACTGAACTAAATGGGTTTTTAATAATAATGAAAAACAGGAAAACCAGATTAGATTAAAAAAAATCTCCAGTCAAATACAGTGAGGTCCGAAATTACAAGTTACAAGTAGTAAGTAGTTGGTCGATGAGTGCTCGACCGAGTGCCATTTTTCCACTGTGTGGCGCTGTCTCGTTCACTGTCCCTCGCTGGGTTATTTTACCCATTTGTATAACAATAATATAAAATGTTTTCTTTATTATTATTATTTTATATTATCAATACATTTGCTTATATCTATTTTATTGATGTTTAGAAAGATGGGGTTAATTTAATTAATTATTAGTATATTAATTAATTGGTTTTTAGTTATTTTTTAATGGGGAAAATGCAATCGAGATCTGAGTGCTGTTGTGGAACAGATTAAACTGGTAACCTCCAAGCCCCGCTGTGCTAACGTTACTTACCCTGCTGCAGGAGTGAGCACGTCACAGAGCTGCTGGGTAGTACCGATCTTAGTTGGGTCGCTCAACACCGCAGGTATGAACACATCAACGTGGAAATATTAGCTGCCGACTTGACTATCGGTTCTGCAAAAAGTAAAGGATGTGAAAAAAAAACAGTTGTTTTAAATGTAATCAAAAACACAGAACCACCACTGGAAACAAATACTGTAAACTAACAGCGTTGTGTTTAACTGCATTGGACAAAAAACACACACAGAGCCACCACCTTCAGGACAAGAATTGTTGGCAGAGCCCTGCAGTTTCAGATGCCCAGAGTAAAGAACTGATGCAGTGAGAAAATCATGCATCATTAGGACTGAACAGTTAAATTACAGCTGCTGCTGAATGAGGAGGTTTATTAGCACCAGGCTGGACAGCAACACAATTAAACACCACGATTCCACACACGTTGTTACAGCAGATTTTTTTCTTCTTTAATGGTAAAGTGACTGTAATTGATTTCATTATTTATGGTTTATTTTGGGATCACTGAGAAAGACTCCGTGAAGTCTCATGTGGTTAAATTAGTTGTTTAGGCCGAGTAAATAAAACTACACACAGTACCAGGTATTGTAGTACTTGATAGTAACGTTCTTTCAAACAAAATACCAGAATGTGTGTAACGGATGTACAGACAGACAGGGGATAAAATAGTTTTTGTGAGTTCCCACTAACATCATAGTCAATGCTTCACTATTTGTTTTATGCAGAGAAAAAATAAATATTTGTGAATAATAACTAGAAGATGACACTTGCAACTTTTTGTTTTTGTTCATGGACAGATTGGCCCCAGCCAACAGAAAGACACCATTTATTTTTCTTCCTTAAAAAACCTACACATTAACTTTGGGACTCAATAAAAAACATTCTAATAAAATGAGTCTCTACAACAGGGTCTAAACAGAAAAGAATAAATTGAACAACTGGCAACAATGTTTCCCTCAGTAAAACAAATTTTAAAACAATACCACATATTATACAAATGCAGAATGTGACCTCTTAACATTTAACTCCTTCAGTTAATGTATGTATATAATTTATATAAACTCTATACAATATAGTTTTATTTAAAAACACACACATGCATGTTTAGCTCTGGTAGGCCACACAAATTAGATGTCTAGGCCGGAACTAGCCTGTGGGCCTTGAGTTTGACATATGTGCTCCATAATAGGAACCAAAGGAAACAAAGCAAAAACATGTACATCCTTATTACCCAAATGTTTTTAACTTGTACAAAGTTTGTTGATTTTGCAAACACAACAAGCCAAAAGCACTTCCTTTTTTTTACTGCCAAGTTTGTGACTCTGAAAAGACCAACATACAGCAGAGAAAAATAATTTTTTTGGGGGAAAAGAGACAACAGCTGTGGTGGAGCAGATAAAGCCATAACTCTAAATTAACTCATCATTGAGGAAATCTGATAAAAGTCAACTACATCTGCAGATCCTCAAACACACTGGGCCAGACTAAGGAGGGGGTGAGGGGGGGCAGGGGTAGGAAGGAAGGAGGGAGGAAGAGATAAAAAAACTGAAGTATAAAAATTAAACCACCAAAAAAGCAGCGACCCGTAAAGTTGTGTGGTGATGTTATCAGAAAGGTATTTGGACTCTTGGCTCACTTGGTAAACAGACACATAAACCGAACAAGTTAAACTGTCCAGGATCCAAACAGCGTCAGTGTCTTCACAGACCCAGAGGTTCCGGTAAATAGGAAGGGGGCGGACACAGACACATTTACACATTGACTTCGACAACCCAGTCAAACTCCTATTCATTCCCAAAATCCTAACCACAAACATAATAATCCGTTAATGTCAATAATAAAGGCTTAGCCTTACGATATTTGACATTTTCGTCTCAACTTCAACCAGTAAACGACACACCTCCACGAATGACAAACATACACACAAAGTTTAACAGCACGGCTACATCTCAAAACGAACAAAATGCAATCACAAACTTTGCTTATTTATATCCAACAACTCAGATTCCGTGAGGTTTTATCGTCTGAACTATCACATAACCGACCATTCTACACAGATATCTGTCCGAGGCTAAAATGGCTTGGTGTTTTTTTTTTTAAAATTAGCCAAAGTTAGCTAATGTTTCATAGTAGCATTTGTTGTCGAATGCGGCCTTTGGCAAACTCAAACGAAACACTAACGAAAAGTCTGCATTATTTAGCATGTCTTTAAACCAAACATGTCTAAAAGTGTCGTGTTTTAGTTTATTCGCTTACCATTCTTCCGTACTAGCGCAGCTGAAAGCACTGCAGAAAATTTCCTAAATCTCTCGGTTTTCTCTGGCTCGCATACGCACAGCGCCACAGCCGCAGGGACTTGTGGGTGTTGTAGTTGGCGCGCAGGCCTCGCCGTCTCTCGTTCTCCGCCTCCAGGACTACTCTACCCACCATGCAGTTGGCGTAGCTGTCATTGGGCTCTGTTCTGTCAGTAAATTCCCCCAAACCAACTGCAAAGCGCATTTAACAACATTATTCCCACGTTCTTACCTATGTCGGCTTGTTATTGGCTGCTCTTTGCCTCTGCCGAGATCATCACGCGGACGCCACGGTCACGTTTAACGTCGAGTGCACGTGGACGGTGGTGTGATGTTGGCACATCCTGGCAGACAATAGTGAGAGACGGTAGTGATGATGACTATGATTATGATGGCATTCACAGTTCAAACTGTTATAATAATTACAGTAAGAGAAGATTATATTGTAGCATAAATAATAAATACGAGATTTGGTCAAAAGTTCAGAGAAACTAAAAAAAAAATAAAAAAATGTAGATTTATATAGATATGTACAGTAGATGTTATGTAGATCCATAAAGCCAACTTTATAACAACAAAAACGTATAATTTAAAATAAAGTCCATTATACATTTATAAAAATAAAAAATCATTTATCATTAATCATTCATTTTTATTTTAATAAATCCCTGACATGGGTTTTATTTTCTGCACTTATGGCACAGTGAAAGGTGAATTTACTTCCAAAACCTTTCAATTAAATTACATTGAATGCTTAGTTTCTAAATAAAAATAATTTAAGACCATAAAAAACAATAAATAATTCATCATAAATATTATACCTCAGATAATTTTCTATCCTACATTTTTCATCATACCTATTTTCCCCAGAAGAGGGTGCTGCTTATCCAAACGTGACATTGCATTGAGGTAAAACGCCTTCCTTTATATACAGTAGTTTCACGTTCATGTTTTAGCACCAGACAGTGTATACATTTAACTAAGATAATTAAGAACTGATGTTTAATTGTCAATTCAGTAAATTTAACCAAAGATAAAATAAAATAAAGAATAAAATTACTTCTGTAACATTGTAGATAGCTGTTATATTTTTAATTGAACTTAAATGTTAAAAATAAATCGACACACTGTGTAAATGAACTGACTGAAATAATTTGTCTGATTTTATAAATATTTACTGAAGCTGAGATTTACATAAAATTATTTCCCACAGCAATAAAATTTTTTTTAATTAATTTACATTTGTTTTTACTGTTTATTGTAAGAGCAACATTATTTAATTTTCTGCACACAGTTGTTAGAGGTGTACAGCGCTACACAAAAGTGGAGCCTGTACCATATTTACCAACACATTTTAATAAAAAATGTCGTTGGCGGATAAACTTTATAATGAAGGAGGAGAAAGCTGTCATAAAAACTTCACTCAGGTGATAAAAATGACTTTGTGGACTGGGTACCTCATGAGGGATAGAAGGGCAGATGTTATGAGGTTGATTCATATTTCCCTTGTCACACACACACACACACACACACACACACAGAGACGAGCCTGGACACAGCTGGTCCATGTGAACGGTTGCCCACATGAGGAGAGAAGGACAGGGAGCTGGAAATAGGAAGATGGGAATAACATGAATAAGAGATGATTTAAATCTCTCTCTCTCTCTCTCTCTCTTGCCTTCTCACACACATGCACAAACAAACTGCTCCATTATAGGAGGCCCAGGCCATTAGCAGTTGTATCTTCTTTGTATGCTCCATTCTAGCAGACACACACACACACACACACACGTACACACTGCATCCCTGCCTCCATGCTGCAGATGCTGATGATGATATCAGCACTGATCCACCGTCTTTAATGTCAACCACGGCAGCACAGTCTCACTGAGACAGATCCAGCTCCTTCATCTCTCTGCTCGGGCCAATGAGACGCCTCAAACAGCTGACGGCGTGTGTACAAAACATCTCTGCATGTGGCGCGGCGGCACGTCTTTAATGTGTCACGTCTGCTTCAGTCGTCATTCACGAAACTGTCCGTGCACAGGGCCGAGTCGGGAACAGCTGACAAGAGGCAGACGGGTTTAGCGAGTCCCACAGCAGTGCACGTGCACACACACACACACACACACACACACACACGAGTGATTCAATATTTTCATATAGTGACTGAGTTCCTTATTCGTCCCATGATGGGGAAATTTACAGTGAGTGTTTGTGACCCACACAGGTTGCCATGGGAGGCGCTGTTAGGAATATGTGGTTCCTCTGGGAATCAAACCCAAGACTCTTTGCTCACAGGGCAGGCGTGCTAACTGCTACACTCTGGGACAACTAAAAAGAAATTTTAAAAAAAGTATTTACAATCGACACATATTCGACTTATCATTAGGTACGTGGCTGCAACTCAGGCTGCCACACGATGGCGCCATTAGGGATATGTGGTTCTTCCAGGACTCGTGCTAACTGCTACATTATGGAACCAACAACATAAACATGTACTTTAAGTCTGCGTGTGTGAATCAGTGACAGATAAAAACAGGACTCCTCTGCTCATCCCTGAGTAGACACAGCTGATAAAGCTGCATGAGTTATACCCCCCCCCCCCCCCCCCCCCCCCATCCACTCTGACAGTAAATGTACACACTTGACCTGGATAGAGACAAGACGGCAGCGATCCCTGCTATTGACTGGCTCCATTAGAGGCCACAGAGCAGCTGAGCTGCATTGTGTGCAGCCACAAAGAGGCAGCGTGGATTAGAGTGAGGTGACCTGTCACATGTGAGGTCAGACTGGAGAGAGAGGAGAGGACAGAAAAACCAGTGGCACTCACTGTGTTCACCACCCAGTTAGAAATCACTGGTTTAGGTTCTGATCCATCCTCAGAGTGTGTTATGAATAAATGATCAGTGCTGAGCAAGGCTGTCTTTAAGTGCTGCTAGTGCTGCTGCTGCTACTGCTACTCTTATCCAAACACTGCTCCATCAGTGCTGCTGCTGCTGCTACTGCTGCTGCTACTGCTGCTCTTATCCAAACACTACTCCATCTCTGTGTGTGTGTGTGTGTGATGCACTCTTCAATCCACCTTTCTGCACACAAGAGTGAGGTTTTAATGCTGTCTCTATCAGTCCTAATTGTGGACACAGTGATGTCTGACTCCATGTTGACCCACGAGTGACTTCAATAGAAGACTGCTGTCTGATGATGTCTGCAAACCTCACACCTGATTGGCCCTCACGGTGGACAGTGAAGGATGTTGAGGAGATCTGGATCAACATGGAAACATCACCGTAGAAGAATTAATCAAAGGTGGATTTGTAAACTTCTAGTCTCTGTTCATGCTGCGTTTCCTCTGAACCAAAAAGACACATTTTTTGTTTTTCAGTGTAGCTGTAGTCCCAACACCAGGAATATTGGACTAGGGGAAGAAAGAAAAGAACAAGAACATGAACCAACACCGGGAACATTGGACTGGGAATGGGGGAGAAAAAAAAAATCAATAACTGATCAATGACTGAGGAGATTGATACGGGATCATTTTTTCTTACACCTCTAAGCTCCATCAATGCCTTTTATACTGACCAGAAACTTGTTTAATCTTTGTAAAAGAACAACTTGGTCCACATCAGTTACTGGTACCCGGCTGCTGCACACACACACACACACACACACACACACACACAGAACACTAAGATGTACTGGGCCTTTCACACCTTCTGTCCATGCAGCAGGTCATCTCTTCATCTCCCATCATGCATTGCAGCACAGTGATAGTTCGCTGTTGCAACCAGAAATTAATCTGGCAGTCAGTGTAAGTGTTGGTTTTATTCCCCAGGGGTCAGGACTGGTGGACCACGGTGGACCAAGGTCACATTCACCTCCAACCTGGTGTGTGCTCTCTTGAAGATGCTCCCACGACAGCATTAATCTAAAGGTATTTACTGCCACCTACTGGGGTTATGTTTTTGTGGTAAAAAAGAATCCCAATCATTTAAAAAAAAGAGAGAGAGAAGGAAGAGGAAAAAAACCCCAAACATCCGCAGCATCAGCTCCCCTGCTGGTTTTCCCAGGACCATGAACATCCTGCTGATCTGAAGATATATTTATAACTTTGAACACTAACGTAATGCTGTTATTTTACTGTTGTAGCCTGAAGAGTGTGGACAGAAGGAGTGTAGGAAAATATTGACACACTGAAATATCGTAATATTTCATTTCACGACACCGTATCGATATTCTAACAATTAACTGGTAAATTTGTATTTAGCTGGTTAATTGTTTTTGTTACGTTTAAATCTCTGACCACTAGTTGGCTGTACTGAGACCCAAACATTTGCAAGTATTTAAGATTCTAAGTTAAACATTTTTTTCATTTGTTTATCTAAAAAATCCAGCAGAAACGTCACAGGTACAGTAACAGGGATGGTTCTTGTTCTGTCCTTGGTACTGATCTGTGCTGCTGACGGAACTGCAGCTGTGGTGCTGAGTGTGCTTCTTAAAGATGACTTACAGCAGGACACACTTGAATACTGCAATCCTGTGTGTGTGTGTGTGTGTGTCCAGGAAATGCAGACCACACAGTTACAGCATCAGTCAGAGTCTGAGGAGAAGACTGACGTCACTCTCACGTCTGTTCAGTAAATATGAAACCATATCCTTTTAGCCTCCAACTTTAGCTTAGCATTAAGTCTGGACACAGGAGGGAAACAACGACCGGTTCAGACCGGTTCTGTCAGAACTGTCATGAGTCTGAGGAAATGTTTTAAAATCTATGATCTGAATAAGGAAATGTCTAAAAAGTCTTTGAACTCAAAATCTACACACGTTCCTTTAATTATTTATTTTAAAAGCAGACATTTGATTCTACTTTTAGGCTCCATGCAAGTAGAAAAAGTTCAATTTGAGACGCATGTCCAGAAACTATATATGTGATATTGCTCTCTTGTTCTAAGGAGACCAGTTGACTCCACTGACAACCAGGCCTCGAACTAACATATTCATATAACTGAATAAGACCACAGTGTGTTTCTGTTCTCTCTCTCAGCTCTAATGCTGCATTTCTGATATTTTTTTTTGGGAGAAGAACCAACCTCCCCCCGTGCCTCCCCCAAGCCTCTCTCTGTGGAGTTAGATGGAGTGAAGTGGCCATATTAGGGCAGAATCCAGAGTTATGGACACACACAACATGAGTAGACACACACACACACACACACACTCTCACATACACACTCACACACAGTATCAAATCACTTCTTATTGAAACTGAACCCAGTGCCATGTTTAAATGAACTCAGTTCTTTTATCTGATCATTACATAAATATTTCTGTGTTGACGTTTCCATCCAGGACAAAAGTCAACTGTAATATGACAAAAGATGAACTCTTTGATCAGTCCACGGGCTGCGAACCCCACTTTGAAGACCACTGCTTTAGTCTGGTCAGATGTTCCAACATCAGGACAAAAAATAAACTCTAAAATCACCCGTTCTCTCTCTTACCCAACTTTTCTGCTCCTCTTCCTTCACCAGCGGCAGCCGCCCCCCCCCCCCCCCCCCCCTTGCTTTCCCTCTTCCCCTTGATGGCTTTCTCTCTCACTCCCTTCCTCCTCCTTTTTTTCTATGTCTATTTCCACTTGTTTACTCTCTCCCTCTTCCCTTTACTCTCTCTCTCCTCCCCCTCGCCCCCCCCAGTCATATAGCAGGATCCATCTGAAGAGCAGACAGTGTGAGAGAGCAGTGAACACTGAACCACCTCGTCCATCAACTTCTCCAGTTTGGTTACTTTGGCCTGGTCTGCCTCTCTAACCCGCAGCTGCTGGTCTCCTCCCCCTTCTCCTCCTCCTCCTCCTCCTCCTCCTCCTCATCGACAGCATCAACACACGGATCCACTGACCTCCTCCAGTTTTCATCCCCACAGACTCACACTGGTTCCCGGCGTCGCCTTGTATAATTTCCTCCTCCCCCCCTCGCTCTCTCTCTGTCTTTTTCTCTCTCTCTCTCTCTCTCTCTCCCTCTCTCTCCCACTGCTGAGACTGCGGATTTATTTTATCCTCGATTCATTTTCTTTTCCACGAGTCCTCACCGTCCGCTCTGGTTTGGTTTGGTTTGATAGAGACTGAGGGGAACTGAAACATCTGTCTGTCTCTGCAGCTGTCAGTGCTGCAGACTCCTGTGGACTCTCTCCTCTTCTCCTCATTCCTCCGGAGGAGCAACAGCCTCTCCAGCCGTGCATCAGTGAGGTAAGCTCTCTCTCTCTCTCTCTCTCTCTCTCGCTCGCTCTCTCTCTCACACACACACACACACACGTACCACGGTGTCTGTATGTGAGAACACATCACTGCAGTTTAGAAATCACACAGCGTTTTCAAGTGACTTAATCTGAGGATCAGATCTGAGAACAGATGAAACTGTCGTGTTTTCACCCTCAGCCTGACTCTACTGAGGCTCTACGTTCTGTAGATCAGACCAACACAGCCGTATCCTGACAATCCTCCGTCTTCTAACAACTTTGTTAAACAGATGTAAATGTCAGTGTTGGTCTTCACCGTTGGTCAAAGTTAGTTCTGCTCCAGATTTGGTTCTTTTTTTTTGCATGTCTTTGTTTCCTTTGTGCGTCTCTGTTGTCGTTTGTATTTGATTTTACATCTGTTCTGGTGTAAATTTGTGCAGGTTTTGTGTCTGACACCTGGTTCTGTCTGATGGGGTTAAATAATGTTCTTTACCCTAGTGGTCATTCTGGGAATACTTGTGTTTGTCTTTGTTGTTTTGTCACATTGTTGCACTGTATTAGTGTAATATCGACACTGAAACATCACAACATCTCCTCCTCCTGATCCCGTATCAATCTCCTCCTCCATCAGTTATTGATTTTTTTTCTCTCCAACTCCCAGTCCAATATTCCTGGTGTTGGTTCATTTTCTTTTTCTTTTCTTTCTTCTCTAGAGATTCCAAATGTAGATCCCTCTGTTCCAGTGTGTGTCTTTACAGCTTTTTCTTTAATGATGCGTTCAGTGTCATTTCCTGTTGGATTCAGAACTGGATTCTCCTACACCAGCTGTTCTTCTTACATAAGTGGCCTCAAAATGACACTAACAGTGTTCGCCAGTCGTGCTAACATTGATCAGATCGAGTCCGGTCTGGGGCCAGTATTGATCAGATCTGATCGAGTGGATTTTTCCACATCCATCACATCAGCTGGACCGGTCCCTGTGGTGTCGCAGCACACAGCGTCGCCAACACTTGGTTTTCAAGGCTGACATATTGTCTCTCTGTGTCTGGCACTTCTTTATTTTATTACCTACATTATTCTGAGCAGCACTTCCTCCTCAGTTCAACAGCCTCCTCCTCCTCCTCCTCCTGCTCCTCCTCAGTTGCCCCTGTCAGCTGGTCAGAGGAGCGCTGCATGTTCATTTCTATTTTTACCCTCTATTTACACAGCATTAGCTAAAGTATATACAGTACCAGCATCTCTCTCTCTCTCTCTCTCCCTCTCTCTCTCTCTCATAGGCTCTTCTTCTTCTCATCGTCTGTCTCACCCCCTCCTCACTTGACTCACTTTTACTCCCTTATGTCCTTTTTTACCGTTTGTTTAGCAGTTAATCCGTCAGCTGCCATTACTGCACTCATATAAAGCAGTTTAACACATTAAGTACTGGTGGTTTACACACACACACACACACACACACACACACACACACACACACAGAAACACAGGATAATCTGTAGATGCTTTTGACCCAAATTACAATTTGACCCATATATAGCGCCTCCTAGCTAAACCCCCTTCACTTAGTACAGACGACTAAGTGAAACTAAGTGAAGATCCACCTCTGACCGTGGACGTCTTTAAATGTCACACACACACACAGGATGTCTGAAGTTGTCGGAGAGAATCTTAATGAAGGAAATGTGATTAATTCTTATTAATTAGCCGTGACATCTCTCATGGAGCCAACCTGACATCAGCTTCACAGGAACTGTCCCAGTTTGTAGTCACAGCTCCAGACTCACTGCAGTCACCACTGCAATCACGTGCAGACCTGAACCAGAGCCCACACACTCTGCTGTCCTGAACACTCACACGGAACATATGGAACACCAGCCAAGATGTTGAAGTGGATCAGTGGATCTGTGTGCTGCCTGGTTTCTCTCTGTCTGTCCATTACATTTACCCAGTAACAAAACTCTAAAAAAAAAAGCTATACATTGCAGTATATATATATATATACATATATATATATATACATATATATATATATACTCTGTATATATATATACAGTGTATATATATATACAGTGTATATATATATATATATATACAGAGTATATATATATATATGCTCCATCAGTTATTGACCAATTCCCAGTCCAATATTCCTGGTGTTGGTTCATGTTCTTGTTCTTTTCTTTCTCCTCTAGTGATTCCAAATGTAGATCCCTCTGTTCCAGAGTTAGGAACTGATGTTCAGATGGAACAGAGGCTGAGACTAGGATCACACTGGGACTATGTCGTGTTTATAATAATAATAATAATAATTTAAACTTTTTCGATGCCACACTTTTGTGGAAGATTTTGTGTTAACAGCAGATCTGCTGCAACAGGCTGCCCCTTGGAGGCGCCAGGCATGTGGTTCATCTGGGAATTGAACCAAGGACACTCTGCTCTCTATTTTCAAGGGAGGCGCACAAACCGCTACGGAACGACAAAATTAGTGGCACTGGCTGGGAATTGAACCCGGGGCCTCTGGTGTGGTAGGTGAGAATCCTACCACTGAATCACCAATGCTGTAGTACTGCAGTATTTCACACTACACTGTGTTGTTGATACACATCGTGAAGCCAGATTTACAGTTCACTGTAATAAGTATCTGTGGAATTATTTCCACGTAATAATTTAAAGTCTGATTTCATCTTAAATCCAGTGACAGCTGTTGCTCGTGGAGAAGCCGCTCACTGACCACCGAAGGGTCAGTTGTGTAAATAACAACATGTGAAGAGACCAGAGACGTCAGCGTCTTATTGACGCCGACTCTCATCCCAACCTTTTCACGCTCCAGTACAAACAACCACTTATGTTCCAGAGGTCACGCTTTAATGGAGTCCATCGGACTAACAACCATCGGCAGGAGACTCGGAATTACTGCTCGGTGGATGGAGGGCTTCACTGACTGTGGTCCCTGGGGGAGTTCACATTGATGGTCCATATTTGTCCCAACAAGACTTAACAGATCGTCTGTCCTTTGAAAATAATGTCACGTGACCTCTGAGGTCACGCTCACCTCTGACCTTCAAACCCTATCCAGCTCATCGTGGAGTGTTGAGCCTAATGTGATCAAATCTTTACAAGGTTAGGTCTCTGTAGCCTTGAACGTTGATCCCACAGACATGTTCTCTCTTGTTCAAAACCAGGATAAGATGCTGTCTTTGAGCTAATTGGGCTTTTCAACAAAAATTACATCTTAACACACAAACAACATTTAGTTGTACAGATGTCCATCGATGCCCAAATACTAAATAAAAATACTTCCAAATGGTTTGGTTGGAAAGGAAACACAGCTTTTCCAGTCTAGGGTTCGGTCTGACCGTTAATGCCTCTGTGGCTGCACAGAACAGACTGAAAATCCACTTTAGTTTCAGCGTTGTTCCATGAGTGTGTCTAAAAGGTGGGGTTGTAAAGAGTGTCCCAGAATGTACTGATGGAAATTAAAGTCAATGAGAAAGATACTAAAACTTTATGGCCCAGAAACTGTTACAACCTTTAAAATAGTTCTTAGAATTAACAATGTGTCCTTTGATCATTTTTATTCTTCTCTCTCTTTTTTTTTCTTCTTAAAACTCAATGAACACGTCCTAACAGCAGGACAAACTGGCCTGGTCCACATCCTGTGTCAATATGTAGCAACATCTTTGGTTCTATTTCTGGGCGACATCAGGGACGTGTTTGTTCACGTCACGTCGTTTCAGTCGAGAGGCTTTTTAAAAAGCCAAGGACTGCGACAGGAAGTAGACGTCATGTTGGATCAATTAGCAGCAGATTTATCACTGGCTCCTGGATACAGGACCAGCACCTGTACGTACGGTGTTTATCAGGTTACCTTTTCTATGGTTTTTATCTACAGAACCCACATGGTCCTGATCTTGGCTCGGTCTCAAATCTCTACCTGGTTTGAATTTGTACGACATGTGTCTGAGGGTAAAAAAAAAAAAAAGTTTACAGTGCTTTTTAATTAGTTGTTAGCCGAGACAGAGAGGACGAACAGACTGGGACGAACATTTGTCTGAAGAGAGACTGAGCCAATAACAGACCAGACAATTAGATGGGGGGGGGGGGGGGGGGGTGAAGTAATGGACGGTAGTCAATAGAAGTCAATGAGAAGGTGGAGCAATGGTGTTAGGAGTAATGTTCTTGGTTTAATGGTCCTGCGTGTGATGAATAGTGACATCTAGAGGTTAGACAGTGGATTAAAATAAAGGTGAATTTAGTGTTCTCCAGTCAGTGTTTTTATATGGCTGACATTCCCAGACTTTTTTGCAGAGCCTCCTTTTTACACTGAGAACTATTTCTTGAACACTGTGATTCCTTAAATACTTGTCCCTGTGGGACAACTACCTTGGTTTCCAGTAGCACCACGCCCCAAAAGGGGGAACCCAGCCCTCACTTTGAGAACCACTTATGTGTGGTGTATGATCAGGAGATAAACCGAGAAATTCAGGGGATGAAAAATGCCGAAAAGTTGTTGAAGAGAAATGAAAGTGGAGCAGAGACAGAGGTGACGCAGAGGAAGCGTCTCCTCCCTCTGTAGTCCCTGTAGGATGAAGCTGAAATCTGATCTCAGCCAGGAACTGGTCACTGCCTAATACTGTTAGGACACACACACACACACACACAGACCCACACACACACACAGACCAACAGTGCAAGCGTGTATGTGTGTGTAATATGGAGAGTTTTCTTCAGAGTCAGATAAGGACAACAGCAAAGTTTTTATCTACGTTTTACATTTAAAACCTAAAATATTTATTCGCCTCAACAATACGAACAAATATATGAATCGTAATATAATTACGAATAATCAGCTGAAGACAGAAATGACAAATTAGTGCCTCCTCACTCAATATTCTATAATAATAATATATATATATTCTATAAAAGTCTTTGGTCCAGAACACTACCACACTCACACGGCTCGTTACCCAGCAACACCACAGGTGAAGGCAGACCTGGGTCCAGCTCTGTGCTGCCTGGGAGCTCTGCTGATTTTTTTTTTTTTTGTTCCTGACATGAAATAGCAGGTGTATTACCCCCTGAACTACTGCAGACTGAGATGTTGGTGGCTGATGTTTTTTCCCTTTTGTGCTACAAACAACTTCTTTTTTGTGGTGAGTTAATTTCACGTCCTCCTCCTCGGGGACGATGTCGTCTAAACGGACACGTTAAAGTGTCACAGAACGTTCTGGGGGGAAACAGGAGGGCATTTCCCCTCACATGAATCACAGAGTGAAAAGCCATACAAACAAGCTGTGTCATAAATTTTTCAGGGGAACAGATTTACGGGCGACCACGGTGTCCTCCTTCTCCTTGAGTCTCGCTGTCGGCTGTAAATGAGATTTGTTCGAGGGTCCACTTTATCCTCACCTCGCCGAGGCCATTAACTGACGAGGGCTCTCGTGCGTTGAGCATACAAACAGACTCCCTTCAAGAATCACACACCGTGTCGGCACATGTCTGAATGATCTTCTCCAATGATCAATAACTATCATTGATCACTGACTGTTGGGGAAGCACACGGACTGACGGAGAGTCAGATTTATAATGACTAATGCACTTGAAATATTTGTCCAACATTTGTCAACTTCTAATGACGTACTACAGTGAAGACATTATAAGGTTTGGTCAAAACAGTGTCCACAAGAAGAGTAGTTAAGTTTCCACTTTATATTGGGCCGTACACCTCCACTATATACCACCTAGTTAAGAAACAAACTCATCAAACACATCCATTCAACTGTGGACAGTTACACTGTTATTTTTTCTCCACAGTTTAGCTAAGCTGCGCTAACATCAACAACCTCACCTCCTTGTTTTCACAGCAGTCAGTGAAGACTAACTGAAGACTAACTTTGACCTCCTCTGGTTGTGCTGCAGGTGTGAACGTTCTAGACTAAGCAGCAGTCATGGATGAGATGGACCTGCCCCAGATGAAGAAGGAGGTGGAGAGCCTCAAGTACCAGCTGGCCTTCAAACGAGAGAAGTCCTCCAAAACCGTGACTGAGTACGTGCACCATCTCCTCACCAACATCCTCTGAAAACGAGATGTTGTGGAAGAGACTGGTGATTGGACGATGCATGTGTCAATCACCATCCAGTCCTAGAGTAGACTTTAGTAAGAGGACGAAGTCTTAAATGTTCTTCCTGTCTGTGCTCTTCCAGTCTGGTGAAGTGGATCGAGGACGGAGTTCCTGAAGATCCCTTCTTGAATCCAGAGCTGATGAAGAACAACCCGTGGGTGGAGAAAGGAAAATGCATTCTTCTTTAGAGGAAATCCTGGACCGTGACCATGCTGATCTGATCCTGACCCACCCGCCCCCATCCCTGCCAGTGAAGGCCGTAGGTGGACAGCGCCTCCTAATCTCAAAGCGTGAATGTACAATTGTTACTGTACCCTAACAACACACACACACACACACACAGACACACACTTCAGCTTCAGACTTTGGTTCTCGTCCTTGACTGCAGCACTTTCACGGTAAAACCATTTCTGCCACGGCAACCGCGTCACCCCTGTATGACAAGACTGCATTGATCAGTAATCAATACATCAATATTCTTTTTTTTTATCCTTAATTTGTATTTAATCTTATCAAGAAAAACCGAGGAAGTGAAACAAAAGTTATGTTTTAAACTTAACTTTAAGAAATGCTTTTTTGCTCTTTTGTTTGTTCCAACTTTTTTTTTCTGAATCATTTCCTTCTGTTATTTTCTTCTGCTCTGCTCTAGTGTACGAAGGTGATGCATTCAAGGACTCATCATACTTATATATACTCATATATCAAACACAACGTAGGCAATCAGAATATTTAAAAGCTATGCATCCAAAACACATGAAACTAGTCGATGTGTTTTTGAACCATTTTTAGAGAATTTAACAACTTTTAGCTCCCAACGTCATTTGCTCTGTAAAAAAATTAATTTTGCTTTAGACTAATGTTAGTTTATGTCGAAACAGTTACACACTGACTAGTGAGGTTGTGTGTGTGTGTGTGAGCAACCAATCTGCTGGTCTCTAGTGTTTTCTGTCCCTTTTCCTCCATAGCTACTGAACCCAAGACAACACACAAACACACACAAACACACAAACACACACACTAGTCATTACACGTGTACAGACAACGAACCCCTTTAACTTATTACCTTGTTTGTTTTTATTATTTATTTATTTATATATTTATTGATAGAAACGTTTTTTTTTGTCACATCGCGTTTGTTACCAGTTCCTGCACTAGTTTCTTTCTTTAACTTCTTTAACCTTAAAAACAAAAACTACATATAAAAACGACACCAGACTTTCCTCCACATCGACTACTGCCTTGTACACACTTTCCTTAATCTGAGATTGTATATAAGTGGCACGACACTGGGGTCAGCGCTGACCTCAGGACGACTCTGTGAGTGTGTGCACGTGACCCTGTCACTCCGTGTGTATGCGTGCATGTTGTTATAGGATATTAAAGTAAAGACATTCGGGTACTTTGTGGCTGAACAAACACACACACACACACACACACCTGTATCACCCGGAGCCTCACGTTATCTCCACACCTGAACGACGCCCGTCTGTGTTTTCTCACTGAAAATCCAGTTCCTTTACGACTTCCTGCCCGTACAGAACACTGACGATAACGTGGTGAGGCCGCAGACGTTAGCTCGCAGCTAGCCCCGTCGTCCGCAGCAGTGACACACAGTAGTTTAATACACTCCTCAGACTACGTCAGTGTGAAGGTGCTGTTACAGACGTAGATGTCAAACGTTTGGAAAACAACTCAACAACAACCAGCTCCAGATCACAACTGATCATTGATAACCTGTTTCCATCATTCACGGCCTCGAAATGCCAACGTCGTTTGAAAAGTAGGTGTGTCACACTCCCACCTCTCCCCACTTTATTAACCCTTTCTTTCTTCTTTAATCTTTTTGTTGTCAGAGAAGTGAGCTTGAGCGACACCTAGTGATTTGATGATTAATTGTAGAAAAGAAACCACTTTCAATGTTTAAATCTTATTTCCCCGATTCTGCCTTGTTCCCTGTTTTATTTATTTATCTCCTGTACCTTTATTTAGTTCTGTTTGTTTTTTATATATATATATAATCTGAGAATGTGTGTATGTTACAATTATTTCTTAACACATAAAAAATGTCTCAATATCTAGCAACCAATTCCTTGTCAGAGTGCATTCGAGAAACTATTATGCATCCGATGGAGTCCTAATGTAAAGATGACTATGAGCAATAAATTAACAATCTTTTTTTTATTAAATGTTTTCCTAAAACAAACGATGCTGTTGAATAAAGTAGAGGATTTTTAGACACCTCTGTTGTCCTTCTTTGGTTTTGATTATATATGTAGCTCATCAGGATAATGACGGGGCAGATGCAGGTCAGGGGGTGCAGACCGGGGGGAGGGGGGGATTAATGTGGTCTCAGCGACTTAAACTGAGCCTTAATGGTTGGTGTCAGAAGGACTGTGGAAAGTTCAGTCAGACTGGTGGAAAGAAAAAAGAAGAAAAACCTCATGCATTGATTGTCAGCTCTGTGGTCAGACTGTTAAGACTTCTGGTTTCCTGGGAAACGTTGCTATTTTTACTCTTCTGCAAACTGGAAAGCCTGGCAGTCCCCCCCCCCCCCCCCCGATTCTGTACTAAACTGGGCATCAGTACAGAAGGAATAATTAAAATAAATTAACTTGGTAGTACTACTAATTTTTACGTCCGTGCAAAAATCATATTTACTAGGGGTGTGTACAATATCCTAGATCCTAGTCTCAGACTCTGCCCCCCCCCCCAGTCTGAGACTCTGTTCCATCTGAACATCAGTTCCTAACTCTGGAACAGAGGGATCTACATTTGGAATCACTAGAGAAGAAAGAAAAGAACAAGAACATGAACCAACACCAGGAATATTGGACTGGGAGTTGGTGATAATTACATAATTATTTAATTGTTTTTTTGTTGTTGTTTTTTTTGACTGGGGGAACTCTACCAGACACAATTAAAATGATGATTAAAAAGTAAAAATTAAAAAGAGCTGCTAAGAATGTGTAGCATTTCAGAGGAACTTTAACCCAGTATATAAGTTTTAGACCGACTGTCAGAGAGATTAGTGCAGTGGTATGACTGTGGCCTGTACTTATACATATATACATATATATATATGTTTACATATACAGTAGAGTGCTTTACTTGTCTCGTCAATCAAACTGCAGGTCTTGCAGCAGGACTAACAGAAAAAGTCTGGAATTGAACCCACAACTTTCCTATGTATAAGATTACTACAATCCAAAGGTATATATATATATATACATATATTCATATATACATATACATATATGTGTGTGTGTGTATGTGGGACACCAACTGTGTGTTGAATGGCTGGAAGGATGTGAGTCTTGTGACAAAGAGTGCTCTTCATGGGTCAGATCTTCTCAATCCCTTCAACACACACTGACAACAGTGGACTCACTAATGCACTCACTCCTCCTCACCCTCACTGTTAAACCCTCCATCCCATTGTTCCTTTTACCCCCTGAAATACTCAGACCATTTTCTCTCTCCCCCCTCCCTCTCTCTCTCTCACACACACCCTTTCTTGTTCTTTTACACACACATCACATCTTTCCTTACTCCATTTCCTCAGTCTGTGAAGTCAGGACTAATGCACTGGTTAATGGCCCTCCAGCCCCCATCACCCCTTCACATCACCCTCACATCACCCTCTCATCACCCTCACATTCACACACACGCAGTACTATGGTTTATCTTCACACCTTAAACACACAGTGAACCATTTTGATCGTGGCGTTCACTTCTTGGTCACATGGTCTTGGACACACTAACACAGTCTGGACAAAATAGGCTAATGGCACGGTGGACTTTAGCGTGCACATTCATGGAGGGATTAGGATTAACAATCCTACTTACAACTCCACACCAACCACACCCACTGCAGACAGACGACCAGAATCAATCTCTAATGCACATTTAGCTGCTGGTGATAATCCTTCTTTACTCTCTCTCTCCCTCTCTCTCTCTCTCTGCCACACTTAAACCTAAACACAAACACGCACAGATGACCTCTAATCCAACATTCAGATCAGATCCCATAACCACAAGTCTCTTAACTACTGAAGTCAGTTCAATCTAATCCAGAGAAAAAGTGGTTCAGTGTGGCGTCCATGTCGTGACTAACAGCCACAAAACACCAGATTATTGTCTGACATTCTAATGAAGTCCACTGTATTAATCAGGTTGACGTCAACAGATTCAATAGGATGAGAACAGTTTTATAACTTGTAGATATAACAGAAGATAAAGCACTGCTTCATCGAGAGGTTTCATGTGTTGACAACATATATCTGGTCTTGAAGGAGGAGACTCTCAGCTGAACCTTCAGAAACAGCAGTGCAGTCACAGTAACTCCTGCCCAGGCCGTCCAGACCCACTGAGCCACAGCCGGTCAGTAACTCCAGCTTGTTTTTCTCTGAGTGGATGGAACGCTGCAAACAGACGGCCTTATCTTTATTCATGCAGGATTTTCTTGCGAGCTCTCACTCTCTCACGTACACTTAAAATGCGCCACAAATTATTCTCACATCACATTAAATTAGTGAACAGTCATGAATTCAATTTGCATTCAGAACACCGTCTGAACACTGAGCATTCATCTGGGCCGCCGTGTCCTCTGAGCCACCGTCAGACACCGCAGCTGCTAAAAAAAAAATCAGCCAACAATCCACGGGTTTTTACTTCATTTTCAGAGCAGCAGCTTTGAAGGCGACCTGCAGTATCACAGAAGAAAGTCACACAAAAGTGTTTTTACTTTCTGTCTTAGATCAGTTCTATTTTGGGCCTTCACAAACATTCACTCTCCACGGCTGCTGCTCCCTCTACTCTCAGTGTAGGATTCTCACCACAGTTCTCAGCTCCTGCCTTGTCTCTGGTCCTGCTGATCACAGCAAGGGTTAATCCAGCAGAGCTGCAGCTCAGGGTTAGGGACCAACACAACACCCTGGAGAAGGTCAAGGCTTTTACAAACTCCAACTTATTGGCAGCTTTTAAATGCATCCAGATGTGAGGTAACGTTGATGATTCAATCAAATTCCTCCAGTGTCAGACACTAATGAGAGAAACGAACGAAAAAAAAAACCTTCTCACTCCTGACGTGTGGCTTCAGTGGTTTAGATTGAGTTTTTGGACCGATCATAAATGGATTAGGGAAAAAAAATTCAATCAATGATTAATTAAAAATAAAAATTGCTCGGCTAAACCAATCAGGTGGTGAGATCTCATTCATAGTCTAAAACAGTGGTTCTCAGCCTCATCTGCCCCCATCGCCCCAACATAAATCTGAATATTAAATCAAAACTCAATGACATCAAATACCACAATGTTCAAAAAGACAAAAATAAAACTGCAGTTGTGACATCGTCGCTTAAAACTTTTAAACTTTCCTCCCGTTTGTCACGTCCCATCTCTCGTGTATCCGTTGCTCCACCAGCGGGGCACGAACGACACTTTGAGAAGCACTGCTCACTGCTCCAGTTAAATACTGTAATACTCCGAGTACTGCAATACCACTGACGCCACCACATCCATTAAGCCAGCATTAATCCCAGCTCAGATCAATAATCACAGACAAACACACATCAGTTCTCTACGTCCACACACACACACACACACACACAC